ATTCAGCTCTTTCTTCATCAAGAAACCACCAGCCTTCTGTGGAAGATTCACTCCCACCATGGAACCAACATTGGACAAAGGCTCTTGGTACCTGTGGGCTCGGTGTGCAGTGCCAAAAGCATCATTGACATAGACATCCCCTAGTTTGGAAAGTGAACCCTGGAAAGCTTCTATTTCAATTGGCTTGGCTTTAACCTTATTCCCATAAGCATCTTTTCCCTTTCCTTCTTCTTCTACATGAAAGTGAAGGTTCTCCAGCAGGATGACAGAACCAGCAGCTGGATCAGCACAGGCTTTCTCTACTTCTGGACCCACACATTCCTTCAAGAAAAGAACATCCTTGCCCAGCAAAGATTTGAGTTCTACAGCAACTGGCTCTAAGGAGTATTTGTCAGGCATGGGGACACCATCAGGCCGGCCAAGGTGGCTGATAAGAACAACTGACTTGGCTCCGTGGTCCAAGCAGAATTTGATGCTCGGGATGACAGCCTTGATCCTCTGGTTGTTTGTCATCTGCTTGTTCTTCATAGGAACATTAAAGTCCACTCTCATGACCACTCGCTTTCCTTTCACGTCCAGCTTCTCCAGAGTAAGCTTCTTAGAAAGAGACATCTTGGCAATACAGCAAAGACAAGTTGCTCGGGGGGCACAAAGAGACTGCGAGCTGCAACAGCCTAGGAGCGCAGGAGAAACGTGTGGAAAGACCTCACAATTTCTTAAGCCCAGTGTTAATGCCACTGTGTCAATCTATCTTGTTGGGAGTCCGCCTCTTTTTTGTTGACCCTCCATTTTCCACTCAACTTATCCTTCAGAACTGATGGGCCCCTCCTGATTGTTGTTGTTGTTCAGGTGCCATTGAGTTAGTTCTGACTCATAGCAACCCTGTATAGGATTTCCAAGAAGCAAATGGTAGATGTGAAGCAGGGACCTTTCAGTTATCAGTCCAGTGCTTATTCTACAGTACTACGCAAGATATCTGAAGCACAAGAGACAAAGTCTCTCCATCCAGGCTTCTAAAAAGCATTCTGACTGTACTTATTCCAGCACAGATTTATTTATTCTTCTGGAAGTTCATGTTACTTTCAATATTATACACCAAAACAATGATCGAATGCATCAAATCTTTTATGACAGGGCTGGGTAAAGTCAGTCCCACAAGTCATATAATGCCTGCAAAATCATTTAGCCTAGCTCTGTCAAAGCAACCTAAATCCAACCATTCATTGCATTGTTGCTGTTAAGTACCATTAAATCGGTTCCGAATCATACGGACCCTGTACAGGGTTTTCAAGGAGGAGTTGTTTGCGTTTAAACCACCACCCTTATGGTT